TTTGTTCGGTCGTTGAACAAGATCCACCAAGTGTTTCCTTGATCTTCTCCTGCCATTCTGCTACTCAAATTTGATAACAAACCTATCATCTTCAGCTATACTGCTGCTTAAAATTCGTAAACTAGCACTCGTTGTTCATTCTATAACTATATTACAGGATTTGTTTTACTCGGTAAGATAGGTTTAGGTAGTTTTCAAGATATAGTAATAAATAGAAATTATAAATTTGTACTACTTCACAGCGAAATTTGTACTACTCTCTCTTCCACATGGTTGATAAATATTTGAAATGTAAAATGTTCCACCTGGATTATTTCTTGTTCAACTGTATGGATGAGTTTTACTCATACCGCAATCGAACGTTACTTAAACGTGAAAATTGTTTGTAAACGTTTAGCACAGTTTTTCAAACAAGGCGATTAATCAAGTAATCGTTTCATCGCTTCTTAGCATCATCAATTTTGCGAACGTTCACAAAAATGATTTGTTGGTTTTCTTTCACCAATGCCGTCGCTACTCATTGTTGTTGTTTTTGATCAGGCTCTCAGGCGACTAACGTAGTAAGTGAACTGCTTCATCAACGCTTTAATCGCTAAGGCATCATGGAACCGAGCCCATCTGTTTTAGCATCATCATTTGCTTTTGTAATGTAACTGGATTAAATTTGTTGAGATAGTTTTTGTGAGCAGTCGTCTGCTTGGGTTGACACTATCGCTAATTTATTTTGGAATTGAAATGCAATGTGCAACGATTAAAGCAAATACATCAGTCATTATAATCGGAATGTACTAGTTGTAAGTGTTCGTTCCTTGAGATTTCCATCAGCATATCCTCAGTAGAAAACGTGACGGATTAGTTTGTTTGTAAATTCATAATTTGGCTAACAGATTTGATCAACACCTTTTGTGATGAGCATGACTGAGATGTCAGTCACACGATTTCATCAACTGCACTAATACACTTCATAACGACAGTTTAAATTATTTCGTTTGTCTCGTATTGTTTCACAGCATACGATACTTTAGAAAGTTTATGCGATACTTCAGGGTGATATATGCGTGTTTCCGTGACTCGAAGAAACAGTTACCTGTTCAGTTTCATTTTTAAAAAATTTTCGAAGCACCAGTTCATATCACAGCATAGTATAGGATGCTCATAAGTTGTCTGATTCTGTAGAAGAATGAATTCAGTAAATGTTCAAAATCGTCGAAAACATGACAATACCACTAAAATGAGTGATTTTTGTTTGCTTTCATTGTTAATATCACAGTATTGTTCGACATATTTTGCATTATTCTATAAATAAGATCAAGCCTTTAGGCTGTTATTGCGTTGAATACAAATGGAAAAACAAAACGGTGATAGACTGATTTGTTTGTATGCGCGGCGCAGTTCGATTTGTTTACATAAGCGATCCAACGAGACAGCCAACGGCAATGACGATCGCGATGACTGGTGCATCTTCTCGTTTCATCGGCCCTAAACGAACCAGCCATCGAACCATGAAGATGATCGTCGTCTTAAAAGCTTTTCGTATTAGCATCTTTCCACTGAACCACTCATTATTTCCATCCACATATCCGTCATCGATGCGTTCATGCGTGCGCAAATACACATGCATGAACAGCCTTTGAATAACGCCGATATTTGCATATCAATGAACAAATACGCAATCAAAAGACACACTATACACTTTTTATAACTCACTGAATCGTTTCATTAGATGCACAATTGCTATTAAGCAACAGTGCAAATCGACGGCTNTCAGTTAGCTGACTACAAGAGGAGCGCATCAAGTCGATATTCCTTTCCGCTGTCCAACTCCTCTTTTAAATCAGTCGATCTACCCCGTCGCCTATGACTTGTGATGGGGAGCCGCTTGAAATTCGAGCGCTTCAAGCCGTCAGGCCATCGATAACGTACGGCGCTCTTCAAGATAGCGTTTGAAAAACGTGGTGGTGGTGAACCTGTTTGCAAATTCATATCTGCTTTAATTCTTTCGCAGTATCCACGCAAAACCTAATTATGCTCCAGGAATGACATCAGGTGGACAGTGCACATTAATGTGCCCTTATTTCATCACATATTAATCATAGAATTGATCACCGTATGCACAGCCGTCTGTTTACTGAAGAAGTGAGATGAACAGAGAGCTGCTTAGGATTTTTATTAAAACTTTCATAATCGTGAAGCGTTGTAGAGTTCTTCTCATATGTCCGTCCAATCGGTTGACTTTGTTCAATAGCGCCAATGCTCCATGAGAAAAATGTATCGTCACATGTAACAGTGTTCGCACTCGTCAATTTTTTAATGGCCAGATAGTTTCTTAGAAACTTGCTTAGCTATATCTTTGGAACCAGACATCATTCACCAGCAGCATATGCATTCTTCATGAAGTGACGAATCTCCTTTATTCTATGATACCAAAAAAT